TCTTTCAGATTTGAAGTGCTGTTAGAGCCCAGGTAGAAATGGTCTCAGGCTGTGAGGAATTTTAACATCACTGGAGGTTGGAAATAGAGGTTTCTGGGACAGTGACTAATTGAAATAAAGAGATGAGCTCTCTTCAGGATATAAAGGAGAGGAAGAAGACCTAGGACAGATCAGTGGGGTGGCTCTTCACAGGTGGCTGAAAGCTCTGTGATGCTTTAATATATCACTATGTTATTAGGTGCCGTTGAGTCGTCTCCAACTCATAGTGACCCTTTGTATAACAGAATGAAACACTGCCTGGTCCTGTGCCGTCCTTACAATCATTGCTACATTTTGAGCCCATTGTTGCTGCCACTGTGCCAGTCCATCCCAAGTAGATCCTACTATTCAGTCCATAGGCCCCATTCAAGATTCTCTAGTTGCTCCATTAATACTCCAGTAATTGGGGTCTTCTTCTTTTTCACTCATCCCCCACTTTACCAAGCATGTCCTTCTCCAGGGACTGATCCTTTTTGAAAAGTACAAGAGACAAAGTCTTGTGAGCCTTGCTTCTAAGGAGTATGCTGGCTGTACACAGATTTGTTTGTTCTTCTAGAACTCTGTGGTATCTTCAGTATTCTTCACCAACACTGTAGACACTTCTGAAACACAGACATCCCGCATACCTGCGTGAACATTTCCCATGACTGGGAGGTGGCACTCTTTAGGCATGTGCAGCTTTTGTTTTCGTTTTTTAAGGTTTTTATTGTGGATTGAGTGAAAGTTTACAGGGCATATCATCAGTTTTACATTCAATAAATCGTACACCTTGTTTCATTATAATGATTATAATCCCCCCCATGTACCATCAGTTAACAGTATTTCTCTCAATTCACTTTAGCTTTTTTTAAAAACAACACAGAAACACTCAGGTATATATATATATAATAATTTGTACCTCCAAAGGGCACATTCTGCAAATCTGTGTCCTGGCCACTAGCTCTTAGTTCCTCTCTTTCCATGAATCTAGAGTCCTCAGCCGCTCCCCCTCTCCATGACCTCCATCTGCCTCTATCTCTGGCACTGCTGCTTCTCCTGGATAAGGTCCCATACTCTGCTTGTGCGCTTCTCCCTTGATAGTCCTAGGGTCGTCTGTTTCTGGACTGTAAGATTAACCACTCCCCTGTTTTTGTTACAAAACTTCTACCTTTACAATTGTGATAGTCGCAGTTAGTCATGATAACAATTATTCACTATTAAATCATAAGAATCTTATCCCCATCTCTTTTCACCAGACCCACCTAGACAAGATGAAAACTATTCAGTGGGGACTCTTTCTTACCCCCTATTTTCTTAAAGTAAACTCCCTCTTGAAACCTTGTAAGTCAGTCACTTCATGCCTTTATCGCCCCTTCGTTTTAGGTAGCCAGTGTCTAAGTTGCCCGTCCCTATCTACCCTGTGTACAGAGGGGATAGCATTGATACTTGATGTGAAGACTCCTTCCCTCTCTGTTGGTATTTAGAGTTACTACCTCCATAAATATAGGTCAGGTTCATCAAATTGTAGCAATTTAACCTTGTTTCCTTTATCAAAAATTTTTTTTTGTAATCTTCCTCTAGTCGAGTTTTCATTATCAAGCCATCGAAGCTAGGTCAAATGGGTACTATCTGCAAGTTTGGGTGTTCTTGTGCATTTTCCCTCACTTCATATCAGCTGGATGATTCACTCTCTGCTCTAACTCTCTGTGGTTATGTCCTTGTCCGTGGGCTCAAGTGTTCCCAGGTCTCACCACACTTTGAGCCAACCCCTCTTCTATCTCTCATCTCCAGGTCAACAGGAGTCAATGGACTATGGTTGAACTCAGTCCATTTCTTCATTGCTGCCTTTTCCCCTCTTCCACTCAGTAGACCAATGTGGTTGCCAGCAAGCTTACATGCCTGTTCGTGGGTTCTCTTTGAGTTTCAATCTTGGAGGGGAGTTTGTCCTAGAGGAACATGATTGCTTGCCTTGATGGCTTCCTGGCGATCAGCTTGCTTATTCTTATAGTAGCCAGTCATGCTGACATTTTTGTTTTGTTTTTTTCCTAATGATCTTTCTTTGGAAATGTATCTTCTGTCACTGTAGCTGTACCAGTCTGCTTGTCCTTTCTGGTGGGAATGTCCCACCTCATAAGGTTCTGGATGGGACTCAGGGAAGTCCTTAGATTCCACCTAAGGTCTTATACTCTGCAGAGGCTTTGCAAGAGGCCTATTTTACTGGGCAATTTGTAGAACCCCTTTTAGGTTTCCGGCATGTGCAGTTTTGTAGTAGGTATTTTCTCTTGTGTGGAAAAACAGAGCTCTCCATTCATTGGGTTAACGCTGCCACACACATTCATTGGGTTAACGCTGGCATTATTTCCTACCTGCTGTCCTGCTGTTCCATTAGAAATTAAACATCATGCCATGTATGTCTCTGCTTTAAACCTTTTAGTAGTTAGACCAAAGTGTATTAGTGGTTACTAGCGAGTGGGCAGAGTCTTATTATGGCACTGTAGGATAAGCAGTTGACTGCTAACTTCAGAGTTTGTGGTTCAAACCTACCAGCCACTCCTTGGAAACCCTATACAGGGTCACTGAGTCAGAGCTGACTTGATGGCATTTAACAACAACTTAATGGGAGTGCGCAGGAGGGGAAAGAGAAAAAGGAGGTGGCTGATAGTGATGGAAAAATCACATTGATTAAAGGCAGTTATTGTAGTTGATGTTAATACGTTGTACACTGTAAAAAGTTGAATTAGCAGAGTTGTATGTGGAGTCCTGGTGTGGCACTGTGGGCTAATGTGTCAGATTGCAAAGTTGTTTAAACTGCAAGGTCAGTGGTTCAAGCTCACCAGCTGCTCCTTAGAAACCCTATACAGGGTCGATATGGGTTGGAATCAACTCGACAGCACTTAACAACAACAACAACAACATATGATAGATATTGGAGCCCTGGTGTGGCACTGTGGGTTAATACGCTAGACTGTGAGGTTGGTTTGAACTGCAAGTGGGTTAAGCTCACCAGCCACTCCTTGGAAACCCTATATAGGCTTGCTCTGAGTCAGAACCGACCCAATAGCACTTAACAACATGATAGATATATTTATAATAGTGACACACACTGAAAAAAAGAATTGCTACTAAGAATGGTTATGGATAGCGTATAAAGCCTTATGGAATTTGGGTCTGTAGTTTGGCTGTTTAGGGTCATCAGTTTAGCAGACATCCCTGTGTAGTGCTTCTGTTCTAATTCCTAATTTGTTTTGTAGGCCAGGGGGGTCTTAAAAGCTTACAAAGAGCCATTCAAGACATGGCAATGGGTCTCTATTCATCTGGAGCTGTTGCTCAATGGAAGAAGGAGAGTCATGAATAGAAGGATGCTATGGAATGTGTGGCTAATTTCTCCCCTGAACAATTAATTACCTCCTTAGCAATGAGACCAGAAATACTGGATGGTGCCTGGATGCCATTACTGACAGTTTTGACCAAACATTTTATAGACAGAATCCAGATCAAAAGGGGGAAAATGCAGAACATAATTTAAAATTCTTATGGATGTAGACATTTTGGAGCCATAGAGACTTGAATGAGCCCTGAGTCTATTGTCCTGAGATAATCTTTAAACCTTAGTCCAAATATATACCCTGAAGTCTTAAAACCAAATAGTAGTGTAGATAAACTAGTAAAAACGTCTGTCTTGAGCATTATACTCTTTTGAGAATGATTGGTGTGGGATCAAAGTGACAGAAGCAACTGGGAAGATTAGATAGGAACCTCATGGGACCGTGAATTTAACTTAGAGAAGGAGGATGTCTTTGGCTGGATTTTCTAGAGAAGCAAACCCAGTGAAACATATATATATATATATATGATAATAAGGAAATGACTTATAATTGCAGAGTCCCAAGTCCCCAGTAGAAAAAAAAGAGAGAGAGAGCCTTTCCTACGTGGGATCAGGCTGTACCCCCAAGGAAGCTATCCCTTCAATTGATTGGCTGCTTATATCCAATCATCATAGACTTAACTATGCCTGTATTAGGTTTCGTCACCATGCGAATAAGCACATCTCAGCTGCTAACCCACAGAAAACCCTGGTCTAGTCAAGTTGACACAGGCCCCTACCTATTACAGAGGGTGAGATTGGTTGCACAACTTGAATAATGTAATCAGTGTCACTAAATTGAACATATACAAATGATTGAATCGCTGACTGGTTTGCTGTGTACATTCTAACTAACAAAATTAATTTTTAAAAGATAAAGAAACTTTCATAAGCCCTGCGTTGTCCACAGAACCAAGGCCTAAGCCCCTTGATTCAGTCATGCCAAAGGAGTAGCTTGAACGTGCTCTTCTAAGCGCTAAGTGCATGTGTGCTGGGTCTCAAGGAAAGCAGTGTGAGAAGTCATATCACATTAGATACATGAACTTAGTCATTTTATCCTCCGGGGATTTTTTTATTTTTTATTTTTAACTTGACCTCCTCTCAAATCTCTATTGTTTGTGCCTTGCACATTTGAAATATTTTAAACCTGATCATAGAACTTGATGTTTATTCCAGTTAGGTTGTGCTGGTGTTGACCAGGCATTCTGGTGGGCCAAAGTGATTGTAAACCTGCCTTCATGATATGTCTTCCCTGAAGATGAGTTACAGAGAGGCACTGAGGCAAGGACCTTGTATGGTACTGTTAGTGTGGATCTGCTTTGCCTCTTGGAATACAAGTGGCAGAAAGTGTCCTGAATTGATTTATATTGTGGGGGAGTGGTGGTGGGGTGAGGCATAGTGAGAGGATCACCGTGAGGGCTGGGAGCAAGGTCTGAATCTTGACCCAGTCTTTTGTACTCTCCCTGCCAATGGAAGTACAGTGCTATCATTCCTGCAGGTCTAGAGGTGAACAAAGAATAGGGCATGTTGGAGTGTTAGAGGCCTGAAATAAGGTGGCTATGTGGTCAGATCTTCCAAGTGGGGAGCTAAATCTTCTTGTCTCATGCTTCTCTTCCAGCTCTTCAGTCAGGAGATGGTGATGAAGTTTGTGCCACGATACAGCCTCGTCTTAGAACTAAGTGACAGTGGGGCCTTCCGACGAAGCCTGCATGACCCCACTGGCCTGGTGGCCACATATACCAGTGAGGCACATGAACATGATGGACACCTGTACCTGGGCTCCTTCAGGTCCCCTTTCCTCTGCCAGCTCAACTTGGAGTCTGTGTGACCCACTGTAAGCTGCCTGAGCCGTTGTCAGGCGGCATCTCACTGGGGCCTCACACCAAGTCTGTAGTGCTAGGGAGGGGCACTGGGACCAGGACGAGCCACGGACACAGCTTTGTCCTTTGTACCTATCCGTTCTCCTGTGGGCGGGGACTGCTCCTGTGTCCCCCAGTGGGCAAGGCCCCAAGCACTACCCTCACCTGTGCTTGACTTTGTATTTATTTGCCATGGGGAAGATCAATCCATGTAAAATCATTTTCTCTTTATATAAAATGCTTTCTCTGTCCAGTAATTCTTGAGGGGAATTAACCACTTTAACCAGGGCTCAGAGTGTGCTGGCAATAGCAGTTAATAAGCTTCCTAGGGGTCTTGTTTTGGCTTGCAGGCAATGTCCTGCCAACTCAGTCCTGCATACCTCCGTATCTTCATTATAAAATGGTCAATGCGTTTGCCAGGGGTGTGGGGGCACTGTGCCCCCACAGTGACAGAAGCAGTACAGGTATGTAACTTAGAACAACTCTCGAGAGTTGTGCTGGGACCTGGGTCCTCGGTCCTCACAGGGCCTCTTTCCATATGGAGGGAGTGTCTATTCCACTCTGTAACTTAGCACCCCTTCCATATGGAGAAAAATTTAGGTCACACTCTGAAGCAGGGAGCCCCCTTCCTTGTGGAGGAGGTGCAGTTCCTACTCTCCTAGCCTGCTCAGGCTCAGCCCTCTCCATCCCAAAGTGCTTTAGGGGTCTGTAAGTCAGTGTATATGGAAAGCATGTCTACTCCAACAGCTCAGCAAAGACTTCATTTTTTAGTGGTTTTTTTCTTTTCTTTTTTTTTGGTTTATTTCCTGCAAACTTAGCAACTGTACTGGAGTTGAATGATTCAATAATTCAGTACTGTAATTTTAAATTTAGGAGAGCTCTGCTTATTCACATTTGTTTATGTCTGCAGGTCTAGAGGTGAACAAAGAATAGGGCATGTTGGAGTGTTAGAGACCCTGACATCTAACAACAACATGTCTACACACTGGTTTAAGTTTATTGGAACCGACTTGACAGCAGTTAACAACATGTCTACACACTGGTTTAAGTTTATCAGGGAGACTCACATAGCAATGGTCATATTAAATCTACTTTTCTGCTTAACCTTTTTTGATGGTATTATTTGGGAGTGTCATCTCTAGATTAGTATTCATATTTTAGCAGTGACTAGGAATATAACTTCTCTAGTGTTGATGTGAGGATTGTTTTGGGATAGTGTTTTGTCTTAGTGACGAGTGGCCCATTCATTTTGCTTAGTAAGACGAGAAAGTCAGTCAGCCTCGGGCTGTGCATCTCACAGTACTGAATCATTCTTTGACAGATAATATACTTTTCTTTCCTATTTTCCCACCTACAAAATGGGGTTAATATCTGTTCCTTTCTTCCTTAGGTATTTGTAAGAACATACCAGAGATGCTCTATCTGGAAGTATTTTAAACAATTTGACAAAGATAGTATTTTAAATAGGTTGTTGTTAAGAAACGTCACACTGGTTCCAACTCATAGTGGTCCTGTCCCTGTATAGGGTTTCCAAGGAGCAGCTTGTGGGTTTGAACGGCCAACTTTGCGGTTAGCAGCCCAGTGTTTATCCTGCAGTGCTGTGCCATGTTGAAATCAAAAGATGAGTGGCAACTGTGATAAAATCTGAACCTTTTGTGTCTTGTCACACTGGCTCATGTTCTGCCCCTTTGGTCTCTCCCAGTATTTTCTCCAGTTCCATGCTGGTCAGTCTTCTTCAGGGGGAAAGCACATAGCACCAGTCATATAGTGGGTTAATTCTGTTGCACTGGCCTTCTGAGGGCTGGTGCTATGTGGGCAACAACACCAGAATGGGTTCAAGAGAGACTTCACCCTGATTGATGCAATCAACGTTGTATCAAATGAACAACTGTTAATTTTGTTTACAGGACTTTATGGGAAAGAAAATTGAGTTGCTATTATTAAGTGCATTTTAGTAATTAGTGGTGTGCCTCATAAATCAAGAATACAAGAATAATAAGGCAATACTCAATCATTCAATCATGAAATCAGTTCAGATGTGCTGGGCCTACAAGTTCATTTCTTGGATCTTCAACTGAGGACTGAGGGCTTTGGTTTTTAGAGCTCAATTTTTACCAGGATAGAGGAGCAGGTAGATTGGTTTTTCCACTTTGCAGCAAGGGAGTCTAGATTTGGACTCCGTGTTAATTTTCTGTCTTAAAAGTATCATTTATTGTGCTCTGTGTGGCAATTTGGCCTGGTAAGGTGCAAAATGCAGCCGCCTTCCTTAGTTTAGATATATGGTATGCTTTTGCTGTAAGAAAAGAAATGTTTCGCTTTCATGTGAATTATTAATATGCTTTATAAATTAAATCAATTGACTCATTGTATGCCTCTTTATTACCTGTTGCAAAACTCTCCCAGAATTCTGTTTTCACATTTCATAGGGCACAGATCCCCATTTTTAGAATTTTATTAGCAACATACACTTGTAGAGCTTTGGAGGTTTTTTTCACAAACGCTGACTCTTTTAAGGGTGGGAGGAGATACTGGCTCATTGTACAGATGAGAGGATTGAGGCACAGAGGGACTAAGTGACTTGAGCGAATCACGGGCCAGTATTTCTGTGAGGCCCAGCGAGACAACATGTTGGGATAGGACAGGCCTGGCCTTGCTAACTGCAGATCTGTATTTAAGCAAAGATGAGAGCAGTGGATGGACTGGGAGGTGAGAGAGTGGGCCTTGCCTTACTTAGTGTATTAAACCACCTTATAGAGGTCACTGTGGCCCCTTTTGCATGTTTCCTGAGGCCTGTCTGGCTCTGAAACCCTGCCTGTTGATGCACATGGGCATATTCATCTATTAAGATAAGGGTTGCCTTCAGGGACCTTGGGAATCATTAGAATGAACATTTTATAGTCCAATTCTTTACCATACCATCATCCTTATATTAAATGACCAGGAAGCAAGTCAAGTGACTTTCTGAGAGTAAGTGACAATCTTCAAGCTACTTAGTGAAGGAGACCCCTTGTAGTGCTCACTTCTGCGTCCTGACTCTCCGAGTAAAGGTAAAGCAGATAGTCACTACTTTTGTGATGATCAGTTCTATATACGTAACTTTACCCACCAAAGGGCAAGATGGTCAGTTGCAGACTAGGCCTCTACTCAATGCTGTGATTATTCAGATCAACAGATGGATGTCTGAACTCTATTCTGTCAGTCTAGGGGACAGTGAACAGCAAGAGAGTCATGTGGATAACCTCGGCAGGTGTCCAGGATTCACGCCTCTTGAGCCATAATAGTTCCGATCAGAAGCTCCACCTCGTGTTTAGACCCATGTTTTGTCAGTTACTAGGAGGGATAAACTGTCCCACCTATGCTGTCTTGAACCCCCTTGTCCTTCCTTTCTGCTCAGTTGTGAGATTCTACTTTAAGAGCATCTAGGGTGTCTGGTTGTACCAAAAGGAAATGGTTAATGTTCAACCATTTCAAGAGATACCATATGAACAAGAGCCAATGATACTCAGAGAGGAAGTTCAAAG